ACCGACGTATACGCTTCCTATATACATAGGATTCAGCTCTATATAACCAAACTTGGGTCACGCAGGCGTCAACTCGTGATGAGAGTATCTGGTTTTTTCGCAAGTAAGCAGTAAGTAGTAGTAAAAGGATCGCGGAAGGCTCAACCAAATCGCCCACGGTGGCGTGGGAAAGGTCTATCCCAGTCATATATCAAGTGCCCGGCGTTTTCCTGGCTCTGTCAATTCAGATGGTATCTCCGCTGGGTTCTATGAGATCACTCTTGGCTACTCTCTCGAGTTTGACTGGTTTTGAATCTATTATGAATATATACGTAGTACATCGTTTTCGATAGAAGCCTACTCGCGAGGAGATGAACTACACAAGACTCGTTGCCAGCGAAAGTTCGGATAGCTTAGCATCACCAACTCCGGGACGCCAGTCCTATGGACATCGTGTGAATATAAAAATCGAGTACTAACGTGAGGTGTCTCTAGCAACCCTGCCCGTCTGTTTAGAATACTTTTTCGATCACTATGAGTCCGTCCATATGATAGTAAAATAACCGATACGTACCTTCCTATCTCTTCATGTTTCATGACTACATCTCGTTCCGATCCCCGCCACCCACACCTGTAATGAATGTGACGGGAGAAACCAGAGTTTGAATGAGTCGTATGAGACTAGACCGAAAGTCATTGAGGAAGAATGATTGGGACTCGGCGAGCGGCGAGTTCTGGATTGAACAGTTCAAGTCAGTATTGATAACTCTCACAATCTATACTAACTCACTTTTGTGCTCCTCGAGGGCCTGACTTCCTCATGAGTAGTCTTATTCGGTACGCCGACGGCCTCGCTGGACTTCCTAGCTGGCAGACTCGTTGTAGCAGTGAAGTTTCCGTGGACGACCACTCCTTGGAAACTATTCCCCGTGATAGGATGAGAGGACTGGTAATTTGTGGCGTTGATAGTCCACCGTGAATTCTCGTTCGTATGGTTGAATGTTGTCCCTTCAATATTGCAGTTGTTGGTATCGCATAGGGTGTTCGCATCGAGTGTTTTGCCAGTGCACATGATGGTGGGTGAGACTGTGGCTGGGGTGTCTTTTTTGAGGCCCTCCACTTGACGCTTAGTCAACTTCGACCATGCATAGTGAGCGTTCAGGATCAAGGCAGGACACTTACTCCAACGACCTTTGATCACGCAGAAACGAAACCAGCACTTATGGTGCATGAACTTGGTTAAGTTTAAACGTTTTGATGTAGAGTTAAGCTTTAACCCGTGAGTCGTGTATGGCGCGTGAATTGGCGATCACGCAAGGACTGCATTGTTCTTGTGCTGTTTCCATTGAGGCAAAAAAGGCATGACGGACAGCGACTCGGACTCTAAAATTAGACGTGTCAAGTGACACGCACCTGAGGCTACCTCGATCACAGTATCAGTATCGTCCAACTCAAAGTACCGCTGACAATCGTGTTATCGGGAGCTTGGCCTTACAGAACTTCAAAGTCTTGATTGAGAACACTCGGGAATTTCAAGGAGTCGCTCGACCAGCTCAATTCAGTCCCGCAGAAGTGGCTGTGGAGGCGAATGTAAATTAAAGAATGTGCAGCGGCGTGTGTGGGATACCGTCGTCCAGTGCATCGATCGTTTCATGAGCGAAAAAAGCGGGCAGGCCGGTCACTCAATGTGTGGTCCCCGACTTCATTTCCACCTTGAAGATCTTTATCTATGAATGCCAACCTCATGGAGTCTGGCAAGAATTACTAGAAACATGCTCCCTGGAAAGATAAGTACCAATTAGCAACCTGAAGACAGCCACGAGATCGAGATATGCAGAAAGTTCATAATCATCAAGCCTGCCTTTCGGTGTGCAGCAAGTAGGAGCCAGCATGCACGCTTTGCCATCGCAAGGCTACTGAATCCGATGCCTACAGATGTTGGATGGCCACTGGCATGTAAGCGATAAGGCTCATGGGAGTCGCGCTTTCATGCCATAACCACTATGACGTCGTCTCTAAGCACCTATCAGATGCTTAAGCTTGCTGTGTAACATCAAATGCTCTATGAGTGGCAATGCTCGAATTACCGTCTACCGTCCTCCACGAAGTGTTGGCGTTTCGCATGTGCTCGGAAATCCCTGGATTCAACGTGACTTGGGGAGGCTCTGTCATCGTCCTGAATGTTAGTACTTTCCCTCTTCTTCAGGAGTTCGCTACCACTAGTAAACCTCGAGACAAAAGCGCAGACATTGCAATGTCGAGACTCGTTGAATCACGGGAAGGGAGATTGAACCTGACATGGAGCCTTGATACTTGCATTCCAAAGGTCGAATTCTGCAAAGATAGACGCAGGAATTGGTATCTAGGACCCAGAGGCTCTGAAGCGTTGAAATTTGGTTCAAATATGAAAACGGTCCAAGTCGAGGTGGAGTCTGAAACTATCAAGTTGGAATGTTATCGCGCGAAAGGTCCTTTTGTATATGTTTGATGCTCCTCAAAAATATCGAAGCTTGAGAGTTCGTTGAATGTCTCCAAAGCACAGTGACAGGATCAAGCGGGTGATGGTGGTTCTTACGAGAAGAGATCCGTGCGAAATTTTCGTTTTTGTGCTACAACCACTACCACCACTACCACGGCGAGCCCTCAGACAATTCACAACTCAACAACATCACCTCCAAACTTGTTGGTTACTCAACATTGAATTCGAAACCTTAACATGCTCGTGCTATCAGACTTGGTATGTCCTAGTTTACGCATCATGGAATGTTGCCGGGTTGTTGACGTTTTTTTTTTAGTGATTAGTAAGGCACCAAGTGAATCTGGGCTGCGAACGATTTGAGAGGACGCGAGGCAACAGTTGTGGCTCGGTGAATGCTCTTTCTCTTCTTATATTGAATATTCTTTTCCTGTAATCTGCTCGACTCACGATTAACTTTGTTCTTCCTCAAGCACACACATTCTCGGCGCAGATATCGAGATACAAACTTCAGGACGAGCCGGATGTCGATGTCGTTACCCGAATTCAGCACGTTTGGATGTCGAGATAGTGGGCATGTAAGAAGAGTGCTTGAGATGGATCATGAAGGTGAAAGAAGGTTACTTGAGGCTCGAGGTGCGTAGACTTGTCTATTACTTTTTCCCGTTCTAGTCTAACTGACTGTTTTTTGACCTGCCTCCAGTCCTCTTGAACATAAACATGCACATTCAACTATGCTGTAAACGATGTCGAAGATAGCCATGCAATATTCGTCAAAGGAGAGCGGAAAAAGAGGAACTAATGTCTTTTCGTCTCGTTTCGAGAGGGGGAGAAAGCACGAGAGGCGGATGGGCATGTCCAGTTGCTCTCGAATATGCATGGTTTTTTGGAAGCGATGTTGGTCGTTTGGTCGTTACCCTCGGCACCGACCCCAGTCCACTTATTTCATCCGTCCTCTATTGGCGACCATCTTCACCGCTCCTTTTGCTTTGAGGGTCCCGGTGTTCCGCGGGCACGCCAAATCCTTATCTCCCATTCATCATGACTGGTACCGGCGATCAGCAAGTTGCATTGTGGTGGTGATGTTTTGACGTGGCTAAGCATCCTTAGGGGGTAGCGGACGGGGTGGATCACTGGCTGCAAAGGGCAATATACTATATCCATCACTTATGATGGTTCGTTAGTCGTTATCCTCACTCTCCTCCCTTTTCTCAGTCATTCACCAGCAGAGCGTTTGGTTCGTAACGCTAACGCTGCAACTGAGAGGTACAAGCGCAAGTACAGATGCGGAATACTGCAGAGGTCGATCTTTTTTGGCACTGTAGAAACAAAAATCATCCCTCCTCTCCTTGTCCTGTTCCCCTTTGCGATGAAGTCACAAGGCGCTATAGCCAAGTGGTTACGGCGACAGATTAGAATCCTCTTGTTGTTGAAGGACTATTTGATCTGTTCCTCTTTGAGGGCGCAGGTTCGAATCCTGCTGGCGTCGATTTTAGGATTTCCCTGTAGTTTTATTGGACTGTAATCACTTTGGTGGTGGTCCTCTGACTTACTTTATCTCTCCGTTATTTTTTGATGCTTGGATCTTTCTTTCAGTTGAACAAAGTTGTTTTGAAGCTGAGGGGGAATTGTTTGTCGAGAGGTTGGACTTTGCATACCTATCGCTTGTGGGTCCAAGTTGTGTCGAATTCGACAAATTTACTTCTGATCACAGCATCGGGTTGACATGTGTAATTTACGTTGAATACATTCTCTTCGATGAATCCCCGGATCGGACCGATCGTAGAGTGGTGGGTGGTGGGTGACGGTGGTTCACACCCTTGTGGTGTCGCCATGGCTCAAAGGTTCAAGCGTAAGTGGTACATACGTACTTCTCCACGGGCCGTTTGGAGGCCGGCACCGGGCATGCGGGGGTGTTTCCGTTCACACGGCCCAATTCCTTCCAATACCACCATTAGAATCTGGCTCAACAGTCATGGAGGCGACTCCTATGCACACCAGCCCGTCATAGAAAGGATTGTGCGGATAAAGGGGACCCGCGTTGGAGGGTAGAAGTGGTTAGTTCGTTGAATTACAAGTCCTTTCGCCAAGTCCAGTTTTTTGTTCGCAAATGTTAATTATGGAATGGTCCTAGCCACATGATATTCTCCGTGGTGCGCATTACTCAAATATTCCTTGGACACTTGAATGCGCTTACCCCAAGCAGTCGGAATTCTCTCAGACTCTTTGCTCGTGCAACCGTTCGCGTCGGACGAGATACTTCACATAAATAATAGTAGTCAGTCGACACCGAGGCCATCTACATCACCATGCTTCCATTGACAACATCGTCTCTGCTCACAGCTCTCCATCTCTCCCCTCTCTTCGAGTTCGAATCCGCCTGCTCCCTCACTTCTCTCTCCAAAATACCATTCACCCACAACACCACCCTCTTCGAGGCCACCGTCGTCCCAGCAGGAACACAACTCCAGTTCCCCGACACTGACCCCACGTGTGGCCCATCGCCAAAAGTCGTTCCGGCGGACATATGTCGCGTCACCTTGGAAGTCGAAACGAGTTCTACCTCCAGGATCAACATGGAGGCATGGCTTCCTAGGAACTGGACTGGGAGGTTTTTAAGCACAGGAAATGGTGGTTTGAACGGGTGCATTAAATACCCGGACTTGGTGTATACCACCTCCTTGGGGTTTGCGGCTGTAGGTGCGAACAACGGACACAATGGGACGAGTGGGGCGCCGTTTGATGGGGCACCTGAGGTTGTGAATGATTTCGCCTATCGGTCGTGAGTTCGGAATCGTTTAGCTCACAGATGATGTGCTCAGCTGACCGTCGTAGAATCCACACGAACGCCGTGGTTGGAAAACAGATCACTGAAAGTTTTTACGGCGAAAGGCATAAGAAGTCTTACTATCTCGGTTGTTCGACTGGGGGTAGGCAAGGTCTCAAGAGCGTTGAGGACTTTCCAGAGGACTTTGATGGGGTTGTGGCGGGTATGTGCACCTTACAAACCATCAGTCCGCTTTGACCTGATCGTCTTTCTCAAAGGCGCCCCCGCGGCGAACTTCAACGGTCTTCTATCATGGTCCGGGCACTTCTTCACTGAAATCACGGGAAATATTTCCCAGCCCACATTTATCCCCCTCGATCTCTGGAAAGGCCTCATTCACGACAGCATTTTCTCCCAATGTGACGAGATCGACGGCGTCAAGGACGGTATAATCGAAGACCCCAACGTATGCGACTACGACCCCTCCGTCCTACTCTGCCAAGGCGACTCAGATTCATCAGATTGCCTTACAGCAGAGCAAGTAGAAACCGTCCGTAAAGCGTTCAGCCCTTTCCTCTCGTCTGACGGACAAACGGTCCTATACCCACGCGCGCAACCCGGCTTAGAACTCAACGAATTTGGGATGATGATCAACGGTACGATGTTCCAATACACAGCCGATTGGTATCGATACGTCGTTTTTAACGCCTCCTTCGACCCCACGACACTCACGCTCGCCGATTACGAACACGGAATTGAATTGGACCCGTCCAACATCTCGACTTTCAAGGGAGACTTGACACGTTTCAACGCGAGGGGCGGGAAGCTTCTGACGTTCCACGGTCAAGCAGATGGGTTGATCTCGTCTCGTATGGCTGAGCTGTACTACGACCACGCCCGAGAGGTTTCTGGAGATTTGGACGACTACTACCGCTTCTTCAGGATTTCGGGAATGTCGCATTGTCAGCGAGGTCCTGGGGCGTGGCAGATTGGACAGGGCAGCGCAAATGGGACGTCGTTTGACCCGGAGAGGAATGTGTTGATGGCGATGGTTGCTTGGGTTGAGGAGGGGACGGCACCGGAAACAATTGAAGGGGTCAAGTATGTCGATGATGATGTTGAAAGAGGCGTGGCTTTTAGTCGGAGGCATTGTAGGTGGCCGTTGAGAAATGTGTACGATGGAGAGGGGGATCCCAATCACCCAGACAGTTGGACTTGTCAGAAAGATTCATGATGTACGAATCTTACCAATTCTCAAATCCAAAAGTTTCGAATCTGTCATCTTTCCTTGCAGCCTAATCATGCCACTCAGGATATAACGGGCCGCCAAGCAGTGTAAGCCTCCGGTTTCATCATGAGCCGAAAGCCGGACAGACCTCGAGGGCTCACTTCGTCTTTGTGTCTGATCTTGAAGGTCGCAAAGCGGTAGAAGTGGGTATCTGGTGTTGGGTATACAGTCTACAAGTACACGCAATATCTCGAGAAACCCGCTCAAACGAAAGAGTGTACTCGAAATGATGGCATTGGCCAAGCCCAAAAGCCCTAAAACGCCTGCCCTTTTGCAGCGGATAGCGAGCCCATTTCTACGTCCTCGGAAGGATGTGCGACCATGATCGACGGTCCACTCCCCGGCGTGATATTCAGGACATGAGAGTGACGCTGGGATGAGAAATTCATATGGAGACTATTTGACGAGCCGCCGTGATCCCGTTCGACAGTGAGTCCGAGTCCCACCCGAACCAAAATGAGGAGAGGGGCAAAAGCCTGTAGGGTGAGCGAAACGAGTATCAAAAGCTGGCCTTTCACAAGCTGATGGAGGACGTACAATCACTTGAGGAAGCATAAAAGCCATGATTGTGAGCGCGTCGTGGTCGGAACTAGTCGCGTTCCGGACACTATAGACCGTGTAAGTGATAAGGAAGATCGGAATAATCATTCCCGACTCCATGCTACGGTGAGAAACAAAGAGTCAGTTTCAGCGCTTTAGTCGGTGGCTCAAACAAGCGTAGACTCACGTTATAGCTATCACAGAGTCGTACTTTTGTGGTCCCAAAGACCCAGATTTTCCCTGGCTATGCTGTGCCCGGACCATCAGCCTCTGAATTCGTCGCTTCAACCACCAGATCCGTCCCGCTGATTGATGAAGCGCACATATCAGTAAATGATCGAGCGACCTGAGCTTCAGCCTCACCGATCAACAAAGTTAGCAACGCATTTGCGAAAGCGCCAAGGACCAACGCAGCAGTCGTAAAGGCCAAGGATTGTTCCAACACTTCGGCACTGGCTTGCTGCTGAAGGCCCGCTGCGAACTGGATTTTCATGTACTGTGGGAGTTCGGTATAATATACGCCTAGAGAAGTCGTTCGGTGTTACCATCAAAAGAACATCATGACTCTCCTACCTGACTCTGTGAGAATGACTACAACAGGGAGGATAACAACCTTCCAGTTTTGGCCCCAGATACTGTAACAGCGGTACACCTAGGACGCTGTCAGCCGGATGAGTTCTTAAACGAACCACCATGAAGAAGACTGACAAGGATCATGAAGGCAGTAAAACTGAGGATAGCGATGAGTGTCGGTCACCAGTAAGCAGATACGAAGCGGTCGCGAGACATACTCGATGAGATGGAGTACAACGTATTGCACAACACTGAACGGTGTGAGCATCGTCGACACGAAAAGTACATGTGAAACTCACCTGCATGCTTGACTATTGATCCCGCTCACGGCGAGTGGCGTCGCTCTGATATATCCATCAACTACGATCACAGCGCCCACCACGGCCGAGATAGTGGCAAAGGCAAAGAGAAGTCCAGAGGAAACGACTTGGAACAACATTCCCTCCCTTTTTTTCCTTTTGTGAAGCAAATACATCCCCATCACGAATAAGACCGTGTTGAATCCTAAAGTCAACAGGGGGGAAAGAGCTGGTCAATCGCTACAGTTCATTGTCTTGACTGTATCGGGGCGTACCATAGACAAGAATCTGGCCCTGAGAAATGAAAAGGTGAGCTCAAACAGGATGTCAAGGTTTTTTGGAATGCGACACGCACCCATCCAGAGAAAAACAGGACTACCAGGGGGGAAGTGGGCATTGTGCTATCCAGGATGGCGGGCGGTAGGGCCCGCTCACTATAAGTACTTACATACACCATCCCAATATAGATCAGTGGCAGTATAGGGCGGTATCAGCCTGCCCGCTCTACGAGCCTTAGTTTCCTTGGTTCCAATCTGACCGGATACGCTTTGATCCCTCGCCGTCGAGTTCCTGAAGTGTCGACGTGTGGATAGAATCAATCCCACCAATTTAATCTGTGATCAGTTCGAGACAAAGCCTGAGTCCTAAAACGTGAGACGCTCTGCTCATCTGATTATCATGAATGAAATCAGATTTCGTGAAGGAGCCTGCGAGGCGGGAAGCGAGTTGCAAAAGCAGTTTAGATAAAGCCTCATGTCTGAGGTGGCTGCTCTTGAGCGTTTGCTGTGTCCCATCACTTGAAACGGGGGGAGACCTATAATAGCCCAACCACGCTGGCACCGGATTGATCACCACCAACAGGTGAGAACACGATTTGTTTCGTCTTCCTCTGAAAGCCGAGTTGGCTCGCCAGGATGAGTAGATCTTGATGACCGTCTATTCTTTGAGTTACCGCATCGACACTATGCGCTATCAACAAACTAGGGCGATAAGAAGGGCAAAGAGGGCAACAACATACGGGTTATTCTATCATACGTCGTTCTCGTTCTCGGCCTCGAACTTTCCTGATGCTTCGACCATAGATCTCGAGATTGATCGCCAAATCAGACAATCTTGAACTTGAATACGATGAGAACGAGCGAGTGAAACTAAAAGTTGGCCCGAGTTGGCAAATTTCAAGTGCATGAGTCGGAGTCCCTGAAGGCTGAGAAAGACAACAGAACGCATTGATCAGACGGGCGCGAGCAGTTGCGGTCCATGGGAACCAAATTCCTCAAAAGGGGATTTGTTCCTGAACGGCTGTGCGCTTCCAGCCTCGTGACCAGGTCTTTCAACTTCATCAAGTTATCTGGTCTCTCGTCTCTCTATCTCAGGAACCTCCGTCCGTTCCTTATGCTAGCCCAAAAGTCAGTAAATTTTACGGTTGTCAAGAATATTGGAGTCTAAACGAACAGGGGTTAATCGAGGCCCGCTGGTTAACTCGAGTCGAGAGAGAGAATGATATGTAGAGTTCACTTCGTGTGACTGAAGATAGGATCAAGCAGAGCGTGTCTCAGTGGAATGGGTACCTATCACTTCAGAATTACGTACTGAACATGTTGCGGTGTCAGGTTGTGCAACGAGATTGAGGGCGCCTTTCTCCGGTGAAGGGGAATAGCGAACGAATCGTCCAGGTTGAATGGGGAGCATACACTGCGGATACTGAGGGAATGATCCTAGTACGGGGGACGAATAGGACCTGTCACGAGGCATAATATATTGGGGTACGTTGCTGATTTAAACACGGGTCCATGGCGTAGTTGGTTATCGCACAATAGCTTTATGGTAGCATTTGAGGTCTCCTGTTCGAACCAGGATGGATCCCATTTAATTTTTCAGGGCGTTATGTTTTTCCCTTCTCCCAGTTGTGAGATCTAAGTCTTGTCTCGATCGCGCTTCTTCTGATACGAGTACAGGCTTGAATACGCGGATGACGCGCAGAAAACAATCCAAGAGGCTCGAATTCACCAAGCCGAGGGGCTATCAGTGTTATAACCTCCAACTACCTAGCTTCACTAGTAATAGCTCCGCGCATGCAATTTGTCCATGCATAATGCGGCCTTTGATATTTATACCTTAAATGAGAGCTATCTCTCCGTGCTGCGCCAAATAATAAGTTCAACGAGTTCGAGTTCAACTTCCTTCGGAACCCCGCCTAGTACTCTATGCAAATAGCCGTACGTCCGACTCGGAAACCCTCTTCCAGGAGAATAATGCCTGTTACATATCGTGTTCTGACTACATCGAATCGTTCGCGAAGGGCTCTAGATTATTCCGATTTCGCACGAGATGTCGTACGAGTCAGAACGCGAAAGAAAGATGGAGGAGTATGGGACGTGGTGAGCTCCTAATGCTTGTGGGTGACCTGGTCACCAGATTGCATAGCGACAGAGTTTGGGCTCTCGTCGTAGAGCTCCTTCACAAGTTCCGTATACGAGACCGAATGACCGGGCAACATAGCTAGATTGCGCTCAGAGTTTGTTCTCGAAAGCCGATAGCTCGAGTTCGCGAAGAAGAGAATCTTGTCAATCTTGTTGGATTGAGACGCAGGCACAGTCATCGGTTCGGGATACAGAGCTGCTATGTTTTACTATTGACCAGAGGGAGAGCAGACTCGGGTTTCGGAGATCTTGGTGGAGGGTGAATAAGAATCAGATGAGCAAAATCAAACGTTGCACCGCCCTCTGAAAGCACATTGTTTCCACAAGGACCTCGGGAGGAAATCGCTGAATGAGCGGATTGAACGGTAGACGTCGAGGTGATTTGCAAATACATGCCTTGCTAAGATCCTTATCAGCATGATAAAAGGTTTAGGAGGATTTTGAGGCTTTGAGCCGACAGAATGATACACTTGCTCAAGCTAAAAACTCGTCTAGGCATTAGTAGTTCATACAGGTGCGGGACGAACAATTTTTGAGAGGGAAAGCAAATCGTCAAAATCGAGGCATGGCTGCCTCGGGTACGTAAAGGGTAAGAATGAACATGTCATACCTGGGACCTCTTGAGAATCTAGTTGTTTTTCTTACTTGGTACACTGGCTAGGTACCGGTCGCAAGGTCCTCTTCAAGGATCGAAACCAAGTCTGAATCAAAGCGACACGCGCCAGTTTTGGCTTGGCTGACAAAGACGCGCGTGCACAGACCAGGACTTGGGTTGACCTGAACCTTCATCATCTTCAACAGCGGCCCGCTCTTTGTTTGTTGTCTGTTCTTCTTGTTCAAAGGACATGGCCATCGTAACTATGATTTGGTGAATAATGGATCCCTCTCTTCGCCAAGCCGTCACTCACTTCTTATTTTCCAGAGTTTTATGGGAACCCAGTGTGCCAACTCAAAAGCCTTCCCCAAGCCCAGGGTTTACCGGTTCGCTGTCTAGCCCGGTTACTTTTGCTTTCTGTCAGCTGTTCTTTGCGGGCTTCTCTGTCAGTCTTCATTTCGGCTAGACCGCTCGAATAGCGAAGGGAAGGGCACGGTCAGGGTGCAATGCCTGTCCTTTTTCGTCCGAGGCATCAGGCCGTGTTTCTTTTCCAAGTTCCGGTCAGAATTGATTGATCTCGTTTTTGCTCTCGTAGTTTTTTCTCAGCGGATTGCCGTATTTCTGGCATCTCCTGTCCTTGTTTCACTATTTCCGAGGCTTGAAGATCGTAGAAAAACCTATTTTCGTCCTTAAGTTCATCCTGTGACCGCAAAGTTCAACGTGAACACGTTACCAGTCATGTCGGACGTTCATAGACCTCGTCCAGGCCCTTTGACCCGCCGTGGACCATTTCATTTCCCTTCTCCCGCCTCCCGAGTTCTATACAGTCCTGCTAAATTGTAAACTCACATTCCCAGGAACTTTGTTGGTGAGTCCACCCTCTCTCTCGCGCAATCGATGGTATGCTAAGGTCCGAGCATCAGGAACACTTCGACAGTCCACTCCGTCATTCTGTTCGAACAGTCCAGACTGACGAAGTGCAGCCCAAAGTTACTATATACTGGTAATCGACGGAATGGTGTCTTCGAGCGGGAATCACTTACACTCTCTTTACGCCCGCTGCAATGCCTGGAGCTCTTGGAAGCTGTCCATAAGAAGCAACACCGCGGGAGGCCAGAACAAAACACGAGTCTGGAGTCCTGTGTTCAACATGGATGATCGTCAACTCCACGCGAATTTCTATTTCGCAGGACCGCAATTAGCGGGTTGAGTGTACATCGACAAGAACTTGTTCTCGACTCCCTCGGATGTTACGTTGCGTAAGTGCCGCCATCCATTCCCTTATACTGAGCTTAAGACGCTGGGTATAAATATAGGCTCAAGTTACCATCGGAGAACCAACAGCATCTTTCTCTTCTCTTCTCTACCAATCTTCCAGCCCAATCTACTTCTCTCTAATCTAACCCCACCCGAATAACCAATCAACATGGCTGCCACCACCGCCCCCGCTGCCTTCCCCAAGATCATGCTCTGGCGTGACATCACTCCTCTCAGCACTCCTCTCAACAAGCCCACCGAAAACTCCCATCACATTCTCGTAGTTGGTGGAGGTGTCATCGGTCTTACCACCGCCTGGTCCCTCCTCGACCAAGGTTACAAAGTTACCATCCTCTCCAAGGAATGGGCTTCTTACGGCAAAGAGCAACGCATTGCCTCTCAAATCGCTGGTGCCCTCTGGGAGTACCCTCCAGCCGTTTGCGGCCAGCACACCGACAAAATCTCCCTCCAGCACAGCAAGAAATGGTGCATGGTTGCCTACCACGTCTGGAACGCGCTCTCCCAAGACCCCAGGTACAAAGAATCTGGTGTCAGGATGATGCCGTCCAACTTCTACTTCCCCGACCCGATCGAAGGTGACGATTTCCAGACGGAGAAGATGAACGAGATTGCTGCTTCCGGTGTCGTTGGGTTCACGAAGGGAGCGCACTTGATCAAGGAGTTCAACGTTGATCCTGTGCACGGTGGTGTGGATGCTTATGGGATTATGGCACCGGTTATTGATACGGATGCTGCGATGAAGTGGTTGATGGGGCTTGTGCAGGCAAAGGGAGCAACGCTTGTCACCGAGGCGATCAAGGGTGATTTGCTTAACCAGGAGGATGCCCTCAGAAATAGGTTCGGTGCGGAGGTCATCATCAACTGCACGGGTATCGCCAGCGCGGAGACTGCAGGAGACGACTCTTGCTACCCCATCCGTGGTGGTTTGATTCGTGTTATCAACGACGGTGTCAGCATGCCCAAGGTCGAGGCTGGTCTTACCATCTCCGCTGATGTTGCCAGGCAGAACGAGATCGTGTTCATCGTTCCGAGAAGCGACAACACTTTGATTCTTGGAGGTGGGGTTTACTTGCACTGCTTTCGTCTTGCGGACCGTATCTAACGTTCACCCTTCTTACAAAGGTTTCACCGAGCCCAACGAATACGACCTCGACCTCACCCTTGAATCTCCCGTCATCAAACGCATGAAAGAGCGCTGCGAAGCCTTCCTTCCCCAGCTCAAGAACGCCAAGATCGACCCCGACTACCCCGTCGCCCAGGGTCTCCGCCCATTCAGACAACGCAACATCCGTGTCGAGCGAGAACTCCGCCAACTCGTCCCCGGATCCAAGCCAAGCCGCATCGTCCATTCCTACGGACACGGAGGCGCCGGATGGTCTTTGAGCTTCGGATGTGCTAGCGATGTGCTCGGATTGGTTAAGGAGGCTCTCGCTGACTTGCCACCGGTGTCGAGGACTAACCAGGCTCCACCGGAGGTCAAGTACACCGGACCCGTGGTTGCTGCTACCGCAGCTTAAAGTCGGAATGCTTCTTTAGGCCGGGCTAGGAGTTAATTAGATCTAGCTCGTAGACAACGAAAGGAACCAAATATTTGGATAGATTTCTCTTTACTCGTTGTACTTTTTTTGGGTACTTTGGTAGTTTGTTGTACTTTCCCCTCCCTAATGACAATCCTCTTTAACGACGAAGTCTGGGGTCCTCGTGAAAGTTTGTACGATGGCGCAGCATAAGCGTTGAGGACGACAACGAAAGGGTACGGAGTGAATTACAACAGAAGCAGTAATGTACATCGAAAGAAACAGAGTAAGTCTTTGCACCCAGAAACCCCAAATCATTTCCGCCTCGTAAATGTTAACGGTACACGTATCGGGCTGTCCATGCCAGTCAGCTCGCTACGCCCAGCGGAAGGAAAAGAAGTCTTAACGTACGTATGCGTAATCCCAAACTGTGCTCTCAGAACTCGCTCCTTCCTAGCTTCAAAACTCTCGTGCTTGAATTCCGGCTCTTCCAAAACTGAGATCTTGTACTTCTTCACCAGAACGGTGAGGATTGCTATACTCTCCACTTCGCTGAACCTGTAGTCATAATGAGGGCAGGAGCCAGCCGGAAAAGGATGCTGAATACCTTCGTCCAATGCACGATCGTGCGCCTGGATAAAGACGAGCGGTTGAGCTTGTTTTCTTGGGGAAGAGGGAAGGTCACCCACCGACACTGAACGGAATGAAAGCATCCCTATTCCATTCTCCCATAAACCTGTCTGGTCGGAATTCGTACGGGTCTTTCCAATACCGAGCTAGAGTTTAGATATAAGCGTTTGCATGCAACAGCGCCCAACGGAATAGACATATACGTACGATTGTAGTGAACGCCCGTGGCATGAATGACGAGGTTCGTGTTCTTGGGAACCGGTATGACCTTTGAATGCCCCTGGTCGTTGTGGAGAACGAATGAGGTGTCTTCGGCGGTCGACTTTGGGACGCCGACGGCCTGTGAGGGTGGTAAGTATGACTACGACGAGCATAATTTGTGGAAAGAATACTCACCGCAGGTAAGAGGCGAAGGGTTTCGTAA